GGGCCAGCGTCGCATAGTATTATTTTACCACTGTACCACTGTCCAGCCCCTTGTTTAGGATTTTTTCTTCAAACATACTGCAATAAGCTTTATTATGTGGAGACAAAATTCAGTGTGCCCATTTCCTAACATCGATGAGAGTGTTATGCCCAAGAATGCCATTACTCTGTTCTTCGGGGCTTCTCAAAGATCCCTTTAGCATCTGTCCCCTTTCTTGGTTTTGGGACCAGCTCCTAACCCAGTGGGGACATAAAGTTCCTGGGGTTTTCCTGGGTACCACACAGGGGCTACTGCTTTAAGGAGACAATAGCAAAGCAGCAGTGGTTGGGAAGCTTTCACAGCTGACTAGAGATGCGTGCTGGTAACGTCCCTGCACGTCATCAGGAGGGGCTCGTATAAGAAAATCTGTGCCGTATACTGTTAAAATGAGGAGATTCCAGAAATTCAAAGCTAAGTGGAACCTTCTCAGCCACCTAGCAGTGTAAACATGGTCGTGGAGCAGTGAAGTGTGACCAGGGCTGCGAGTCTGAGCTATTGCTGCCAACTTACCTCTCCAATAGTTTTACGGCATTTATACACATGTGTGTGTTTAAAATTTGAGTCTCTTCACATCTATGGTACTAATCCCTTTTCCTAATTCTTTCAGTGTTGCCAGTTATCAATGTTTGTAACTTCCCAGTCCCAGTGAGGTGGTATGGTGGTCTCTAAAGAATATAGATTAATTTGGGCAGGGGGGGGAGGTAGGGGCAGGATTTTAAAACTTCTTTCAACTATGCTTAAGGAATTTATTGTAGCATTTTTATTGATCTGGTAAATGCAGGTTCTAATCGTGGAAATTTTTTTCAAAGTGAAAAGTCAAGCCTTCTTTTGGTTCTGTCATACTTCTTTCTGTATCAGTAGTAGCTTCTTCCAGAAATATCTTAGGATTGTCAGGTCGATGTCTTTTGAGAAGATCCTTCATTTAAATGTAGTTCTTGTTAATTTGCCATTTTTCCTTCTTTTTATCTTCATTTTGTTTTGAGTGTGGAGTAAAGTAAGTGAGTGCCTCTGGTTTAAGATCTCAAAATGTCGGAGCTGGCAGGTGGCATGGTAGTTAGAAGTGCTGGGTTCCAACATAGCCGACCACAGTTCGAGTCCTAGACGTGGCAGCTTGCTCTCTTACTTTCCCTTTTTCTCTCTCTCTGGTCAAATTGGAAGATAATGATAACAAATGGAATTAAATAAATGGATAATTCTTTAAAAACAGAAACAAAGATCCTGAAATGTCAAGGTCCTTAGTCTAGTGCTCCAGCTCCACATTTGAATTTAGAAGAAGGCCTCGGGAGACAGAAGCTGTCTTCTGTACCAGTCGCTGATGAAAAGTGAAAGTGAGCAGACAGACCAGGAGGCAGCACGAAGGAGATGTGGCAATGAGAGCTTTGCCTTTTGGAAACCAGCAATTTAACCTCCCGAATGTTGAGAAAATGAAGCACTCTGAATTTCATCGGCTTCCTACTTGGAACTCGTGCTTTGTTAGAATGGGTACCCATTAGAATTAAACCCTACTTTTCACTGTTTTGAATTCAGTGTTCAGCATTTTATTGCTTTATTCCTGTGAAAACCAGGCCTCCCCATTCACTGCATGGTCTTCATGAGTGTCTCAGTGGATGAAAACAAGCACGCCGGCATTTGAGATTCTGTCTCAGGACAGAGTTTCTCGAATTGTGTTGCAATTTCTTGAGTTGCCGAGTGCAACACGTTTCAAACTTGCACATGCATTGAATGACCCGAGTTCTTGTGGAAATGTGAGTTCTGATCCCATAGATCTGGGGTGGAGTCCAAGAACTGTCATTTCTAACCAGATCCCATCTCATGCCAATGCTGCCGGCCCACTCGGAGGAGCAAGGGCAGAGAACACTTTCTTGGGAGGGTAGTAATATGTGTGATTATAAAAAGAGCCCTGTGCCCAGATGAAATTGGGAAACTCTGTGTTAAACAGGATGATACAGCTGCCTATTTAAATTTCGTACAGCCTGTGATTACTAATGTATGCTGTGGATGTCCAAGAGTGTACGGCGTACAGTGGTTTTCCAAGATTTTTTATAGAGCGTATTATGTAGCTAGTATTCTACCAGGTATACTTAGGAAACTTACATGATTCAGAGTAGTCTACTACAGAAAACAATTTCAAGGAGTCTTTTGCATCTATAAGAAATTGACTTTATCGATAATAGAGATACTCCTATCAGAAAAATAGGATGAAAGTTCAAATTTATTTTAGTGCAAGAAAAGTTTAATTCTGTGCAGTTTTTTCATAATACATATTAGAGTGCTTACATACATTTCTGTTTTTCAATGTAAAATTTATGTCCTGACTTTCCTGAAAACTCGTTATCTCCATGAACTTTTCGAAGACCCCTTATTCTTTTAAATATTTCAAGTATCTAACTCTTTTGAATATCTTTTTAAAAATACTTGCAAAGATCTGAAGCACATCTAGTTGTGTGTGAGTATGTGTATGTGTGTGTTTCACTTTAATTATGGGGTTGTTGGAGCTATCAGCCCAGAAAACTTCCCTTAGCTGGAGTTAAGGGTGGGATGCACCAAATCAGTACAAGTATTTGAAGGTAGAAAAGCCTGCTCTGTAGTACTCAGGCGACATGGATGTTACAGCTGCTCACTGTGCATTCTGAGCCCGTGCTATGACTTCTGTGGGAACTAGCATGTTTTGAGGGTGTCAGGTTTTTGAGCCAACAGCAGCGGCAGGATGGCTAACATTGGTTCATCCTGAATGAGGTGTCTGTGCTGTTCTAAACACCATAATCGCTATATGAGGATTACCAGTGCTCCAGTTACTCTACTCTGCAGATGAGGGAAGTGAGCTGTCCAGAGATTTGGAGACATTCCCTAATTTATTTTTCATAGAGCAATATGTCAGGGCAAGGCAGATTTTGAACATAGTAGGCCTGACTCCAGAGCTATGTTGGATACTGACATGAATGACCCTTGACACTCAAGTGACAACCTTAACTTTTTTTAAAAGAATTATTTTATTTAACTTTTATTATGATTATTTTTAAAAATTTTACCAGAGAGGGAGATAGAAAGTGAGAAAGCAAACTGCCAGGTCCAGGACTGGAACCACAGTTGGCCATGTGGGAGTCAGGTGCCTTTAACCACACCACTTGCCAGCCTCCAGTTTTAACTTCCTTTAAGGTTTTTGCCCTAGGGCACATGTGGTTGCCAGAGAGACAGAGAGAGACAGTGAGAAGGAAAGCAAGAAATCACCTCCCATTGGTATGGCCACACCACAGTCCTTTCTCCATTTTCCTTCATTCTCCTCCTGGGATTTGGGGCATGCATGCATGTGTGCCTGGTGTAAGTTTCAAGCTGCCGTGTTCGGGACTCGAACTGCGGTCAGCCATGTGAGAGTCTAGCACCTTCACCATGCCACCTATTGGCCCTTAAAGCATGTATTTGACTAGTTGGCACCTCTTGAATCCACACTTAGGACGTGACCATGTGATCACTACTTTGCATATATTATGTCATTGCTCATAAAGTTAAAAATGTCTTCCCGTCATGAAGAAATTGAAGGAAGTGCGCTATTTGTTAACAGTTGTTTCACAATGTGAAATAAAAACTTGCTCATTATAGATTGTGTGGGAAATGCAGAAAAGTATAGAGGACATAATAATAATTTTTTTTTTTTTAAAAAGCACATTGTTATCCAGTAAGAACCTCTTTCAAAACAATTTTCTTATTATCAAGACTATCTACTCTGCATAGTAGCAGATATGCATACTACTTTCACAAAGCAGGGCATACACATATTTTACACATGTATCTTTTAAACAAAGTCCCTCTTTTAAGGTGATTTCATAAATCTACAGTTAACATAAGGCTCTATCATATCTCGAATTTTTGTCATACCATCGTTTGAAATCCTCACTTTAGCTAAGCAACCTTTGTGTTTTTCTCCCATGAAATAGAGACTTTTTGAAAGCCCTCAGACGGTCTAACTCAGGTTCCGGGACTGCAGCTAAAAGCAGCAGAATGCCTGCACCAGCTTTCTGGAAGGCTCTCCCCCCTACCTGATAGGCCTGTTAGTGTGTTTGGGTTTGGCACGTGCAGGTTTTGCCTTAGTTAGGAATTTCCTCCTCGGCGGGCCCCTGCAGTGTCGGAGCAGCTCACCCTCAGTCCCACGGGGCGGCCAGCCTGCTGTCAGTTTCTGGGCAGGCAGTGGCGGGGAATGCACACAGCGTCAGTCAAAGCAGTGAATAAGCGATTTCTGCCGTTCCCGGAGCTGCAAGCCTGTGTGATCCTCTGTGATGCTCTGAGGACCGGATTCCTCAGTCACAGCCCAGTCCTGCTCTGAGCGTTGCCGTGTTCCAAACGGAAGGATGGTAGCTCGAGGGGAGATAGCAAGATTTTGGAGTCTGGAAAGCCTTCACATGGGTACGTGTACGCAGAATGGATTGCTCTGTCGTGGCCGCGTTTCTGACCCAACTCTTTCCTTTCAGACTTGCCGTGCTCTCTGCTGTGCTGGCCAGGTGTGAGCGCACGGAGAGGCTTCTCCCTGGGAGACTGTCCCGACGGTTATTTTAGCCGGGGACGTAGTGAATCCCAGAACCTGGGTTTACCTATGGCACAGTAGTTAGTGTGAAAGGGGAGAGGAGAAGACCCAGGCGTGGACTGTCCTTTATGAGTAATAGGTCTGGTTTCTGCTAACTGTTATTGCACTGGTTTTTGCTTCTATTACTGCAAGCTCCCTCATTCAGGAGGTGATTGCTGGGATCTATCAAAGTGCCCTTTGCTAATTTAGGATGTCTAAGTTTTGAGGGAATGGACTGAGTTTTTATAAAAAAATACTATTTACCATTTTCAGAGGTGATGCTGCCTAATATCTCGGTGATCTCAGTTTTGAATATGTCTTGAGTATTTAAATGTGAAAGAAATGCTGTACTGTTACAGTAGGAAGTTATAAACCGTCATTGTGTATTTTGTAAAGGAAGGAAGACAAGAAACACTTCACTGAAAGACTTCTCCCTGGCTGCTGTTGTTGGATACAATAGGACACTTTGCAAACAGATCTAGTCTCTGTGTTCGCCGCAAACAGCCGCCAGTAACTCACTCAGAGGTGAACGGGCATTCTTGATGACAGCTTGAAGACAGCTTGAAGGCAGCCTGGGGCCTTGTCAGAGAAAGGCAGTTTGGAGTTTGTGCCTTCGTCCTTGTTTTGATTGGTTTGCGTAAGGGCAGAAAGGAGACACGGCTGCACAGGGCTGCGGCCACGGCTTCTGTGTCTGGTGGATGATCAACACGAGACTGGTGCGTGCTCCACTTCTTTAGCCAGGACTTAGGGAGAGAGAAAAAGAGTTGCCCGGTATTTCTGTGTAGAGAACCCAGACCTCCTTGGCAGTGGCCTGCTTCTCACTCGAGTGTTAGGGCTCAGTCCTGCCAGCGTCCAGGCTAGCGCAGAGCAAAGCTGGGGTGGGGGCATGTGGGGTGTGTGGGTGCCCCCTTCCTGCGTGCCAGGCACTGCCACCGCCCAGCTCTTCCTGAGCATTCGTGGCTGTGAGTACTTGTGTGCTTTTTCCCTCCCGCAAAGAGAGGGAGCCAGCGTGTGGGAGGGCAGGGCGAGACAGGGCAGCCAGGCGGCCGGCCAGTGGCCTTCTGCCCTCCTCCAACATTCCTCCTCTCCTTCCCACACTTGCTCAGAGGCCGGGTCCAGCCCCAGCCCCAGCCCCAGCCCCAAGTGGAATGTTCCCCCGATGTGGCTAAAGAGACACAGCCCTCCACAGTGTTTGTCTCGGGCTTAGTTCTTTAAGAAACAGATCTGTACCGTTCTACCCAGTGCACCTGACAGTGAGCTGGGTGGCTGCAGCGTTGCATTCCCAGGTCCCACGCCAGGCAGCTTGGAGGAAGAGGTGAGGCCCCGGGGCCTGCCGGTGCTGGCCGGGACTCCCGTCTTCCTTCCCTGCTTCACTGTGTTCTAAAGTGTCTGTCATACGATTTGCTCTACAGAGTAAATAGGAAGAGACTTCAAAAAGTTTGTGGAAGAATGAAATCACAGTATGAGTTTCTTTTGGTGCAAAAAAATCAAAATCCAGTCAGATTTTTCATACTACTCATTTTCCATGAACTTTTTGACCACTCCTCATAATGCAATGACAGCAAACAGTATGTATTCAACTTTAAAACGCATGCTAGTATAAAATAAAAATGAGAGCTTACCGCTGGCGGGTTCTCCCTTATTTGAGAGCCCCGAGAGGATGGGTAAGGAGAGATGGTGGTGCCCAGAGAGGTGGCTCCTTGTAGGGTGCACTGACAGGGAGGGGACAGGTGGGGGAAGGAGGGCCATCGGGCTGCCGACTTGTGCCGACTGTCACTCTGATCCTGTTGGTGTGAGCTGAGTCAGGTACGGGCCTAGACAGCCTGGTAGCAGGATTCATTTGGATCCTTGGGAGTAACGTGGGAGGCCACTTGGGAGCAACTCCCTAGCCTCTTCAAGCCAGTTTCCTCCTGGATGAACAGACAGTAAAACCCAGGATGCTTGTGAGGTGCCAAGCACAATGCCTGGTGCACACGGCGAGCTGACCCCAAGCGTGAGGTGAAACTGAACAGACTGTGGCTCAGGTTTATCCAGCTGGTCCACAAGCCAGCTGTAGGAGCTGGAAGGCCAGCCCAGCCAGGGAGCTCCCAAGAGATGGCGAGGGCATCCGAGTCAGAGCCACAGGTGTCAGGAGGAGCCACTGACCAGGCCAGAAACTCGAGGGGGGGCAGCAGCTGGCTCAAGAGACAAAAGGAGCAACCAAAGGCAAAATTGGAGGGCTCTCAAATGTCTGGCTTCTCAAACCCAAGGCGTTACTCCCAGGTCTGACCTGGAGGTGGGAGGGAGCAGAGCTGCTGATGGGGGCTGTGGAGCCAACTGGTCTGGTGGTCAGGGCAGCACCGGATCTTTATCTTTCTAACATTCTCTCTGTAGAGCCCTGGGTATGTGACGACCCCTGGGAAGGAATGGATCAACCGCCCTACAAGTCACAGAGCTTCTTTTAAAGTTGGGCATCAGCCCCGGTGACCAGGGCATTCACCCTGTGCATGTCCATGGCTGCAGAGCCGCTGTTGGGGCCCAGGGGCTCTGCCCACAGAACAGCAACCTACGAGAGCCGCTTACGGCTGCGGACATGGGCAGACTGCCTTCTGCCTGACTGCCTGCATTTTCCATTTCCGCTTTAAGATGGGAAGCCAGCAGGGCTTATCTCAAACCTGAGGAAGTTCGATCAACAGGAGGTTTTCTGAAATGCATGTTTTTAACTGATTATTGAGAGCACGGGAATTTCCCCAAAGTCAAATACGGGGAAACCCCACCACTGAGGAGCTCATTAGTTAGCTAGGGCTGACGATGGCCAGGTCTGTGATAAAAACCAACAAGTGGACCTCCTTCCTGCCAAGTGCCTGGTTCTGCAGGCTGCTGTGCGAGTTCTCTCCTTCCTTTTGTTTAACAAAACACTTCAACAGGCCTTGCCCCCTTGAAACCCAGTTACTAATGAGAAAGCAACAGCTCAGAGAGGCTGAGAAGACAGGGCCTCCTCACCTCCACTCAAACAAACCAGTCTTGGGACTCTGAGTCTGGGGCTTTAGAAACCCTGTCACTCTGATCAAAAGCCCTTCAGTGTGCAAAAATAAGCCACATGGTAAAGAGACCTGTTTTTCTTCCTGAGAAAAACCCCCACCAGGACGGGAGCATGGGGCTGTCCTTATGTGTGCAAATAGAGTTCTCCGTTGTTGGTGATGTTTGATATTTTCCTTCAGAAGAATTTACCTGCTAGGATTTCAAAAGCCGAATACTAGTAGTTCAAGGCAGGTTCAAGTCCCAGCAAGACCACGTTAAAAAGGCCTTGGGGCCCAGCAGATGGCATAGTGGTTATATCGCTGGACTCCCACATGGCTGACCATGGTTCAAGTCTCAGACCTGGTGACTTGAAACTCATACTGGTGCGTGTGCATGTGCACGTGGGTGCCCGAGATCCTGGAGACAGAAGAGGAAACGGCATTGGAGCACGGCCATCCCCGTCCCCTGGGGGATGGTGATTTTTCACCATTCCCTCTCTGTCTATGGTACACACACACACACACACACACACACACAGCGCACATACCCTAAGGCAAAATGCCTCTTAAAAAAAATAAAAGAAAGAAGAAAAGGCCGCGACCTTTCTGAGCTGTTGCTTCTCATTTGTAACTGAGAAAAACTCCCCACCGTCAGCTGTTCTAGGGACCGGGTCTGTGAAAAATTCAGTTGTCAGAGGTTGTCTTTTCATAAACATAAACTCCAGGATCAGACAGGAGGCTGCTTTCCCAAGGAGAACAGAAGCAGTTCATTGTTGACCTTTGTTTAGGGAGAGAGGACTTAGCATTCTCTCTAACTGTATTTGTAAGTCTTACTGACCTACAGAGTGGCAGGAGGTCTGTGGGGACCACGGGTTGTTCCTCGAGTTTCATCTGCAGATGTGGACGGCGTGTGTTGGAGGTGGGCATCCTGCCCACACGGCAGCTGTGGCTTGGAGACTTTGTTCATCCAGGGAGTGCGTGGAGGTGGGAGATGAGATGTGATGTCTGTGAAAGGGGAGGGCCTGTGAAGGGAGCGTGTCACAGGAAGAGAGGGGCCCGTGCACACTGCTTGGGAAATACTGACTTCCAGAAGGAGTGATGGTTAGCTGTGATGATGAAGCAAGAGTGTTAAGATTCATCTTGTTACATATTGCAGCAAGGTGTGTTCACAGAATCGTCCCTAGCCAGAGTGGGTGCTCACAACCAGCTCTGAGGTGGTAAAGGATGTTCTCCCCCAGCTTGGCTGATACTTGTAAGAAGTGCTCAGTGAACAGAACACATTCCGTCTGCTCGTGTATTGATCCTGTCTAGGAGTTCGGGCTTTTAAAAGTGATTTCAACTTAGGACAGTCTTTGCTCCTTGTTTACAAAATCATTGCCAAAACTGGTTTTCCTGTACTAATTTTTTTTTTTAGAGGTTTTTGCTATAGGGCGCATGCACTCGCCAGACAGACAGAGACAGAGACACAGAAAGGGAGAATCACCCCCCGGGGGGGATAACCACACTGCAATCCCTTTTCCTCTGTTCTCCTCTTGGGATCTTGGGCACACACACACACGCGCCCAGCGTGAGTTTTAAACCACCAGGTCTGGGATGTGAACTGTGGTGGACTCCGTGGGAGTCCAGCGACATAGCCATTACGCTAACTGCTGGTCCCTCTCGTACTAATTTTTTGAACAAAAGAATCAATGCAGTTGGTGAAGATGCAGAGAAACTGGAGCCCTTGTGCACTGTTGCTGAGAAAGTAAAATCATACAGCCATTATAGAGAACAATGGAGGTTCTTCAAAAAATGACACCTTTTTTGGTAACTACCGTACAATTCAGCAACCCCACTTCTGAGTATATACCCTAAAGAATTGAGAGCAGGGACTCAGAGACGATTGGTATGCTCGGGTTGATAGCAGCATTATTCACAGTAGCCAAAGGTGGAAACAGCTGAAATGCCCACCCACAGATGAGCAGATACACTGGGTGTGATAGCTACGTACAATGGAACATCATACTGCCTTTAAAAAGAAGGAAACCCCAAGCTCTGACAACGTGGGTGGATTTGGGGGACGATGTGCTAAGTGAAATAAGTCAGTCATAAAGGGATAAATACTCTATGATTTCCCTCATGAAGTATATAGCATAGTCTGAATCATAGAAACAAAATGTGGAAAGGTGGTTACAGGAAAGAAAAGAGGAAGGATGGGAAATTAGTGTATATGCAGAGAGTTTCAGTTTTGCAACTTGAAAAAGTTCTAGAGACCCATTGCACAACAGCGTGAATACATGTAACACTACTGAACTGTCGGGTGGTCAAAAAAGTCATGACTCATTTTTGCATAGAAAAATACATCATGACTTTTCCAACAACCCAATATATACATTAAAAATCATTAGGATGGTAACTTCTGGGACCAGCAGATGGTGTCCTGGTTAGATTGCTGGACTCCCACATAGTCGACCGGTTTGAGTCCTGGACCCAGCGGCTTAAAAATTCAATGCCAAGTGCACGTGCATGTGTGCCCAAAATCCCAAGAGGCGAATGGAGGCGAAAGGATTGCAGGATGACCATCCCCCGGGGGTGGGGGGTGATTTTTTGTTTTCTGTCTCTGGTGAGCACATGTGCCCTATAGCAAAAATCTCTCTAAAGAGAACAACGAAAAGAAAGATGATAACTTATAATGTTAAGTTTTTATCACAATAGAAAGGAGGGCATCAAAAACTATCAAAAAAAAAAGATAAAAAGAGGAAGGAAAGGGAATGAAATTTACTTTATTATTATTACTGTATATTAATTTCCCCTGACTTTGGTGAAGTGCAGTTGATAATTTATAATAGTTCTACATCATGTAAAGTTTTCCCAAGTAAAAGTCCCCATCTACCTGAATTTGCGGTTTTAAGTGTTGAAACCTACGGCAGTCACTGAGGAAGTCTGTTGTTATAGTCCATGATGAGGTCTGCCCAGTGGAGGTGGGTGTGGGCCTTGGCCCTCAGTGGGTGCACAGAGGACTGTCAGCTGAAATGCAGATTGCCCTGTCCCCGTCAGCGATTTAGAGTTCCGTTTGAAAACACTTGGTGAAAATGTTTGGCACACGAGGTTTAGGTAGAGCTGAGTCAGATTACAAGGGGCCTTGGAATACTGCCGAAGAATTTTGTTGCAATGCAGTAGATAACTATTAGGTCGTCAGGAAAGTCATGACGTGTTTTTCTACGTTTCTCTATGCAAATATGCATCATGACTTTCCCAACTACCCAATACTATGTAAAATCATGAAAACATTGGTTTAGGAAGTTTACCTTGGAAATACTTCTTGGGGTGACTTGGGGAGGGAGATAAGCATGAAGACCAGTTGGGAGAGGTTTCTACCTAGAGTCTGAGATGTGCAATGGAGAGTCAGGGAGACCTGGGTTTACATCCTGGCCTAGACCCAGCACACGGATAGCCCAGGTAAGCAAGTTGACTTCTTGGAACCTGTTTCCCCATCAGCAATTTGCAGTTCAGTTGAAAAATACATATTGAATGCCTTCTATATATCCGCTATTATGGTAGATGCCGGGAATACAGAAGTAGAATGGTTCTGCTCCTTCTCTAAAGGAAGTTACTGTTTTAGAAGGGAACATGCGGGACCAACAGATGGTGTGATGGTTACATTGCTGGACTCCCACATAGTCAACCTAGGTTCAAGTCCCAGGCCTGGCCGCTAAAAATCTCATGCTGAGTGTGTGTGCATGCATCCCCACAATCCCAAGAGAAGATGGAGGAGAAGGGATTGCAGCGTGGTCATCCTTCCTGGGGGTCGATTTCTTACTTTCTGTCTCTCTGTCTTTCTCTGTCTCTCCAGTGAGGACACATGCTCTATAGCAAGAATCTCTGTTTAGAAGAAGAAGGAACAGGCTGAAGACATGCCTTGGGGGATAGGGGGTAACCGTGTTAGGCACAACTGTGGCATCAAAATATAACACTAAAATCCCTCTCATCTAGATAGCAGATATTGAAAACTCGAGTTTTAGGGTGAGACCATCCCATGGCCTGGTGGTTAAGAAAGCTGGCTTGGTTGACTGCATAGTTCAAGTCCCAGGCATGGTGGCTTGAAAACCATGAGGGCACATGTGCCCCAAGTCCCAACAGGATGGAGAAATGGAGGAGGAGTGATTGCAGTGTGACCACAGCCCATGGGCGTAGGTGTGCTTCCTCCCTCTCTGTCTCTGTCTCTGACAAGTTCACGTGCCCTCTGGCAAATTAGTTAATTAATTATAGGCTAGGAACACGGGAAATCATTAGCTAAGAAGGGACTGTCAAACCATGGAAGTAGCCAAGGTCATGAAGGGAAGAGATAAAAACAGGAAACTAAATCAGACTATGGACAGACCTTGTTGGAAGCAGAGGTCAGGAACAGACATGTTAGCAGAGAATCAGTAAATCTTGCTATTTTTTTTCCCCCTCTCACCAGAGAGAGACACAGAGAGACAAGGTGTCAGAGCAGCCTCTGTGGGAATGCCGGTCACCATGTCTTTGATCTGAGCTGTTTTTCCAAGTGTTCACGATGGCAACTCAGAACTCAGACTGGACCAAGTCCGGCCACTCTCCAGAGGGCTTGGTTCTGGTATGTCCTGTAAAGGTTTAACATTTTCTCAGTGGGTACTCCTTTTCTTTCTTTCTTTTTTTTATTTGCTATCTGGTGTGTGCGCTTGGAAGAGAGAAAGGGAGAGAGAGTGAGTGAGTACCCTCCTCCTCCAAGGGGATGACCGTACTGCAGTCCCTTCCCCATTCTCCTCTTGGGATTTTGTGCACATGCATGTATACGTCCAAGGTGTTTTTCAAGCCATTGGGTCTAAGGTCTGGATCTCGGGCCATGCAGTGAGTTGGCCACGTGAGATTCGTGCCATTAGCTGGTCCCTGGACTCCCCGGTGCAACGTGGATTTGTACACGATCACTAGTTCTGTTGGTGGTGGTGGTGGAGGTTCTTATTTTCACAGAAGCAGTCTGGTCAGATGGTAAAAAATCCTTCATTCAATGGTTCCTTGAGGGAGAAAGTGTCAATTTAAGGCTTTGCTTGGGTAGGAGACCCAGACTTCTTCATCTTACTGAGCCTCACTTTTTTTTTTGGCTCAGTTATGGCTGAATAGTGATAAGGAGAAATGTTGGTGCCAGGCAGTGCCAGATCAGTGCTGGCTGAAGTCTGAAGAGTCCTGCCTCCTGGGTCCCATAGACCGATAGTTTGTATACATTCTCTCTTCACCTCCCTCCCCAGGAACGTTTGAACATTTCTTCCATTAACCAGTGTTCCATTAACGCGGGCCTGGTGGTCTGGGAAGCTGCTCAAAGCTTAGAAAAGGCTCTCAGAGCTGGCACTGTTTCCTCGGTGCTCTAAGAGCTACTCAGGCATAAGAAGAGCCCTCAAGACTTCCTCCCCACCCTGCCCCCAATGTCACACTCCACGGGGATGCACTAGCCTGGGCAACCTCATGTTCTGTCTGTAAGCGCTCCGGCCACAGCATGGGAAGCGGAAGTGGCATTTATAATAAAAGGAACAGTCACCATCCTTCCTACAAGCTCAAGTTCATTTCTCAGACTGCAGAGGTCTGTCTTTCTTAAAGACCTTCCACCCACACCCCCATGCACTCCCCAATGAGGAAACATCCCCTAGAGGAGGGGGTCCTGGTATCTGGCATCACCCCCAGCCCAGTCAGCAGTGCCCGAGACATACACTCACACACACTCACACACACACACACAGCTGGCTCTCAGCTACCCACCTACCTGTGCCCACAGCATATACCATTCACCTGTGGTCCAGGCCCTGCCAAGCCTGTGATGGTGCCACCCCTCTCTCCTGGTGACCCGGTCGGAGCAGCCCAGCAGGCAGCAGTGCCCAGGCTCTGCCGTGCGTTCATTGGTTTCTTGGTTTGTGCTCAAGCCCAGGAATATTTTCCTCCTCTGCGGGTGCTGTCATAGAAGTGAGGCTGAGGGAGGTGACTCTGGCCAGCTTGTGAGGGGGCTTCCCTGTGACCTCACCGAGCCTTTCCCTGGCCCCCTCACAAGGGCTCTGCTTTTCTCTGTAAAGTCCTCCTGCCACTCAGCGTGGACCTTGCTTGTCATAGTTCTCATTTTTCAGTTGAGTCATCAGTATTTGGGTTTTATTCCCTTCCCCTCCCCACCCCACTAGACAGCTTCCCTGGCCTGGCCCCGTTAAGACAGGGACCTCCCCAGCACCTGGCAGTCATTCTACTGGAAAAAAGTCATGATGAATATCGTGATGCATTCTCCCTGAGTTTTGCATGCAAGGGCCAAGGCCATCCCTCTGAAAGGAGAAACACCCCTCCTCTCAGTGACAGCACTGGTGAGAATAGCCCACTGTCCCAGAATGGAAAATCTGAGTACCAAGGTGGTCAGGCCAAAATGCTGTGCCCATCCTTAAAAAATCTTTCTCTCCTCTATGGC